GACAAACAAGGTCACTCTATAATTTTTTCTAAGCACAGACGAAAACCAGGTCGCCGTGTAACCACAAAATACCAAACATCCCTCTCCTAATATGAGTGACTACTGCTTCTTTACTAAGTACAGCTATTAGCCTCACTCTGCTTTCCTCCTAGATTTTTTTTTTTTTAATGTACACAATCACAGAATTGTCCTCACTTCAAGGCAAACCTGATCAAGAGAAATCCTCTGATTTTTTAATGCCCTCTTACTGGGATGCCCTGTGGTTCACCCTGGTGTGCATTCTCCATGAAGTGATGGGGAATAAACTGAACTTTTAAAACCATAGGTGTGCTCCTGGTGGTCTTTAGCTGGAGGGCACTGACAGGTATTATTAATTTCACATATATGGAAAATGGTGCTTAGAGAGGTTTTAAAAAACTGTACTAGTGACAGGATTAGAAGCCAGATCTTCCTCAAGTAGTTCAGGAGTATGAAAAAAATGTATATAGATAGATAGGTAGCCTTCGCTTAGGTTACATAGAATATGTCTGTGACATTATGTAAGGCATACTCACCCTTTTTGTGCCCTGTGTCCCCTATCCCCAAACCTGAAAATGCTCCATTATAAGGTTATCCCTTTGGGTTAAGGAACTGACCATTGTACTAAGCTAACTTAACTACTGATTCCACTTTTATCCAAATTAACTTGTCAAATCATTTCCTCTTTAGTGTTGAAAAGTCAGTGTAGTGAGTGAGTTGTGATTGGAGACGGTGGACTGAGGGTATACCCCAAGCTTGGTGGGTTGGTCATAGAGGGAGGCCTTGAGGAGTCATGATCGGGAGCTCTGGGAAGCCAAGGTCTGGGCAGCACAGAATGTCTAAAGGACAGGGAGGGGGGAAAGCACTGGAGGTAAAATTTAACAACTTTCCATTTTCCCCCTAGGGTCCACTTTGCAGATTTCTTTATAAATTAGGAGAGATCACTAGGCTGGGAGTTCAGAGACCTTAGTTGTAACCCTACCTATGTTACCATTTGATTCTTTTTGACAGGATACTGGACTGTCTGAAGTAAAATCAGTAGATCAGGTTCTCCAATCTACTGATCTCAAAGGCTCCCTTAATGATCTACGGTTCTATGCAAGGATGATCTTTAAACCATTTCATGCTATTTCTAATTGTGTTCTCATGCCCTCATTTGTTGCTTCCCTAACATTTATTATGCAGCTAGCTGTGCTTAAATGTGTGCTAAATTATGGGGAAACAAAGACTGGTCTCCATCCTATAGCAGCAGATACACAAAATCCTATTTCTAAGCTTCCTAAGTATATTCATAACATAAACATACTTTGTATAATTGCTGTTGACAGAGTAGAATGTCAAAAGTTTCCAACATATGTGTTTACATCTATTCACCTGAGTTAAGTTTTAGAAAACATGTCTGAGTCCAGGGACAACACTGATTACTTTCTTTCGAGATCTGAAAGCCCAGAATAACGCTCCCACCCATAGCTGTTCAACATATACAAATAACTGACCGTCTTAAAAGATAGTGTGGTTGCAAATGTGGTAGCACAAATATGAAAAAAAATCAGTATCTACTTTGCAGACAGGAGTGCACTAGTCAGATTTTGTGAATGTTACTAATTCACAATGGCTAATAATTAGTGCATGTAAGCTTAACATAATGTCAGTGGGAAACACAGAACAAAATAGCACATCTCACAAGATGCTGCTTTCCTGAACTCTTGATGAAATACTTTCTCTCTTTATGCAGATACTTGAAATTTCCAGTTAGGAATTAAAACTAGGCAGAATATTTTTTCAGTGGGACTCTGGGATTTCTTCTTTGGAGGTGTGTAAGAAAGTGCTAGCCAGTTGGGTTAGGCTCCGTGGTTATTTGCATATTTTCCTGATTTTGAAGTTATCTCGTTTCTACTGTAAAAAGATAATCAAGGAAAATATTTTATATATGATCTCTCTTTTTACATAAATCTCACTCTGCATACAACCTCAACCCAGCCAACATACACTTTTTTTCACTTTTTCCTAGTTTAAAACTGCCACCATAACTGTTTTGGCAAGGTCCTTATGGGTTACACGAATATCATTCAGGGTCAGAAACTGCTCCTCCGTTAGCTGCATTTCAATTTTCCATCACCAAATGCCATTTCCAAAAAAGAGTAAATGTATTTTCAAATAACAGGACAGAAATGAGTTAATTCAAGAAAAATAGGTGAACTCTACCCACCGCTACTGGCCTGGAACAGGGAGGGGTATGACAGATCAGTGCTCTTCTCTCAAGCATTGCTATGTTTTCCTTTGCTACCCCTTGCTCCTACCTTCCACTTCACATGGCTGTTAGCCTCAGGCCAGGAAGGCAGTGAAGTGTAGAAACCACCAGGTAGAATCAACTAGACAGGAGCTGAGATGAGGCTGTTTGCAGAACCTATTTCCATGCATCTCTGCACCTGCATGGAGGTACTAGAACAGTGAGTGGGATATTATCACCTGGTCTGATTTCCCTTGACTGCAAGTGTGTAAAGTCACAGACCCAAGACTTGATGGGACTGAAATATCAAACTCAAATTAATTTGAAGTAACTTTAAATACCCTTTATTTTGTACAGGTCATTAGTCAGACCCAAATGTAGACTTATTTTTCCTTTTGTTTTATTCTGAGTGTATGTGTGTACGCACGTTGACAGACTGCAATTTCTTCAGAGAAGAATTAGCAAAATAATGAGGGTTCTAGAAACCTAAAGAAGACTATTATCTTCAAGTATTTGAAAAACTATCATATATGATAGAAGTCAATTTATTAAATATTTTCTCCAAAGGTAAGATTTGGCTTAACGAAAAGAATTTCCTATAAGGCAAAAGTTGGCTCAAATTTTATTTTATAAGCTAGAATTTTCTAATATAAATTAAGCTGCCTGCCAAGGTGTTAAATTTTCTCTGTAGATGCTCAAACAGAAATTGAATGACCATTTGGAGAAGGAAATCAAAGAACTTCCTTGTGCTTACAAGTTGCAGTATTAGCTGTATTTTCCAACTCTGATTTCTCTTAATTTTTTATTCTCTCCTTTTCTTTCAATTTTGGCACCCATGGAAGTATTTCACACAATGTGTCACATTGCAAATTTCTTGCTTAAAGCAATGAAAAGAGAAATTTCTTAAGGAAATGGCACTGATTTTGTAGGGACAACTTTAAATTTTATTGATAGTTATTGTGGCAAGCAGTGAAGTTGAATTCATGTATTAGCAACACCTCTTTCCATTCAAGGTGAGAACACGGATTTTAGGGAAAAATAAGGAGGGGTGATCAAGGAAAATATCCTTTTCCTGGGGCATACGTGTCTACCCTCATTTTTTCTGCACTGTTTTTGATTCTTCCAATTTACATGGGCATTTTAATGAATAACTTCAGTGCAAAGCTCGCCTGGTGTATTTAACCAATACCAAATAATACCAAGAAATGGAAATAGACTATGAAAGTGTTTCTAAAGTTTAATGAATGGGTGGCATCTCTCTTCTCTGAAAGACTTAAAGAAGAATGAACTCATTTCTTAGGTATTATCTGCATCATTTTTTTTTCTTTAAGGGACTCAAGCCACTTGTTCCTAGATGGCAATATTTTTCCTATCTGTTTTCTCAAAATGTCACTGCCCTAATGTGATTGTTTCTTAAGATGCCTGTTCACAATTCAGTTTTTAAACAGGTAGACTGAATTTTAATTGTATTATGAGATTTTGCAAGTAAATTGGCTGAGTAATATTGAGTCAATCCGCCTTCTTCTAAGCACTCATTCCTAAATATGCCTTTTATTTTTCAAAGAAGGGGCCCTATTTTGTTTCAAAAAACACATTCATTATCATTAACAGTCTTAGGCTGACCTGACTGTGTAGGGAGAATACTGATCAGGTAGAGGAAAGCATACAATATGTGTGACTGTTACTGCAAGAGCCAGCTGTGCCAGCATTTCTGATTTAATCTTTATTTTGACATTTTTCTCTGTCCTCCCTCAATTTCAGGCAACCTATGTACCTTACAATGACTGCATTCCTATAAAGAATGAACAAAGGGGACAATATTTAGATGTAAAAAAAAATCATTTGAAAATGAAAATCCATGTTTAAATAGATTTGTTCAGCAGTGCTTTTTTAGTTATATAAAGTCAGCAGACAAATCCAGCAGTGAAAAGCCAATAATATGTATTTTAGAGTATGATGTTTTGGTATTTCAGGACCTAATCTAAAGTACCAGTATAAAGGATTTTTTTTTGGAAATGGAAAATTTAAGATAACCTGTCATGAAAGTCAAAGTGACATGTACCTATTCAGAAATGTAAAAGAATGGAGAGGCGATTAATATTCATTGAGCATTTACTATGTGCCAGACTCTTAGCAGCAACTATTTCATTTAGTTTTCGAAATAACCCACTGAGGTACATTTTATTATTCCTATTTATTTGGTGGAAGAAAATGAAGCCCTGAAAAGCTAGAAAAACTTGCCCGGGGTCACCTATCTGGTAAGTTAGATTTGTCTTTGACATCAAATACAAGACTTCCCAATTCTAAGGGCTGCACAGGGACAGCAAAAGAGCATGGCTTTTGCCTGCAGAAGGCAGGTGTCAAGTAGGCTTGGAAAAGAATTCCAGTTGCTGTCACTGCAGGGGTGTGTCTTAACCCCTGTTTGAGGAATGTGACTTTACATGTTCCCACTGACCACGTGGGGCTATTATGAGATGAAAGTGAGAACAAAGAATGGAAGTCACTGTAAAGTTTTCTACTTGGTCTGAGTGCCACTGAACTCCAGGTAGTTATTCTGAGGAATCTGAAAGTGCCAAGGTCAACAGTGTAGGAAGACACAATCAGTTACATGACTTGGCAGGCAGTATGTATATCTTTGTGTGAATGAATAGGCGGGGGGTGAGTAGGATTTGCTGAGAATTAGCAAGAGCTGAAAATACACAGGGTAAGACCAGCTCTGCACACCTGCCTCTTCACCTAACCGAATACTCACTCTGCAAACAGTCCGCGTTCAGGAGGTCCTGACACTTTTCGTGGCACTTCACTCCACACTCTGAACACTTCATGCCTTGCCGGGCAATGCCCCACAGGAGCCCTTCACACTCGTAACAGTAGGTAGGTGTCGTAGCCGTCCAGACCTCAAAGTTGTGTGGGGTGGTGGAGGACATGGGGTAGATCAGCGCCTGCAAAGTCTTCCTGAAGACATGTATTTTCTGTGAAGATGAGACAAGTAACCAACACGAGCCACATCAGTGGATCTGGAGAATTTCATCACAAAACAAACCATTTTATCACTTTTGCCTGAAAACGCTATTTTGAGGGGACCCCTTGATTATTGATTTAAGTGAGGGCAGTCATCAAAATAACTCTGCACACTTATTCTTTGTTCAGTGTTCTAGGGCCCAATTCAGTTCTTTGAACACAAAGAACTCCCTAATCTTCATATTGGACTGGGCTCCCTGCTGTGTAAGCTTCTTTCATGGAAGCACAAAGCTCTTGTTACTTGATAATGACTATGTCCCTCTATCCTGTGAACTCCATGAGAGCAAGGATGATGAGCATACTGCTCACTGCTGGATCAATCCTCAGAGCCTAACCTAGTCTTTGGCTTGAGATAGGTGTTCAGGAAACATCAATTCAAAAAAAAAAAAAAAAAAAAAAAAAAAAAAAAAAAAAAAAAAAAAAAAAAAAAAAAAAGGAATTTATATTACTATCCTTGGTGTAAATTGGTTCTTCTGGTTCTTGGTAAAATTATGAAGTAATGGAAAATATTCTCAATGCTGATTTTAACCCTCTAGAAACACTCCCACCCCTCTTTTATATTCTACCCAGGCCTCATCTCCCTGATTCTATACCCTCACTAACACTACACCCCTCCCCAGTCCCAAAGTACATTTCTATAGATCTTTCCACAGGGAACTGCTTTCATCACCTATTCCTTAGGAAGGAGCTCATCAACGAATTGATAAGAAAGCCCTAGTAGCAGATAAAGCCCTAGTAGCATGGCACTCTCCCATGGTGCTTTATATTTTAAAGGGAGATAATTTTTAATAGCCCATGGAAGCTGTTGGTAGAGTGAGCACTGAATGAGGAGCCAGGAGGCCTGAGCCAGGAGGCCTGAGTTCACGAGCACAGGCCCCATCGTGTGACATATGAAATGGGCTTCAGAAGGCAGGAGCTCTCTTCCCTATTTCTCTAGTGCCTAAACCATGTCTATCATTGTTCCTGGGCCTAGTAAAGGTACAACACATTTTTTGTGTGTGAAATTAATGAATGTCTGTTACTTAAGAGTCTTGTGATCTAGGAAGAGACTTAAACTCTCTAATCCTCACTTTCCTGTACTACCTATCTACCGTATTATGTTGAAGATCAAACTGTGAGATGGTAACAAATATAGTCCATAGACTTCAAACACTAAGAAAATACTAAGTATGGGCTTTCCCTGGTGGTGCAGTGGTTGAGAGTCCGCCTGCGATGCAGGGGACACGGGTTCGTGCCCCGGTCCGGGAAGATCCCACATGCTGCGGAGTGGCTGGGCCCATGAGCCATGGCCGCTGAGCCTGCGCGTCCGGAGCCTGTGCTCCGCGACGGGAGAGGCCACAACAGTGAGAGGCCCGCGTATCGCAAAAAAAAAACAAAAACAAAAACAAAAAAAACTAAGTATTAGTGTTGATAGTGGAGACTTGTTTGGATGTGTCTGTCCATTTGATTGTCATATCCCACTATACAGCTGATGTCCTGGTAGAAAGACTAGCACTCTCTGAAGTTACAATTACAAATAACTTCCCACAACTACCTGATGCATAATGAATGGTTATTTACATAAATCCTGTAGGAGTCTAGCTGATAAGCAATACTAAAAAGGAAGCACTTGTATTTTGCATTAATCATCCTTAAATCTCATTTCAGAATGTCTTCCCACAGTGTTGAAATGGCTAACTTGTCATTATTTTTCAAATCCATAGTACGGTAACAGCATATTTCCCTTCATTAATATATTCCCCTCATTATGTATTTTCCCAGAATATGTTTGTTAATGGTGGAAGGAGGTTCCCTACCAGGGAGTTAAGCATTACTAAAAAATTTTTCTAGCTTTTGAACAGCAAGATCCAGCCTTGCTACTCCATGAAGGGCTGGTCAAAGCTCTTTATATTTCAAGTGAGTCTACAGAGCAACGGTATGTTCAAAATATGGGAAGTTCTCAAGTAGAAGAGCCCTGTGTTAGGGTTTGTATAGACAAAACGAGTGGATCCATCACTTTTCAATAAAGATAGTCTGAGCCAATAAATCACTTGGCTCCATTCCCTAATGAAGATGCCTTGTCTTGAAAAGAACTGTTAAGAGTTCTTTCAGAATTAGAAGTATGTATTATGCATCTTTGCTCCCCATTTACTGCCTAGCAGAGTGATATTCAGTATCATCAAAGTGACTTGAATGATTCTTGGCATAACAGATTTACAATCAGCTCTCCATAGACAGTTTCACGTTCTAGCTGAGCTGAGGGGCTGGAGGACCGTGTAATGTGTACATGTGGTGGTGTGTGTGTGTGTGTTTGTGTAATATAAAATTTTTGGTTGAGCCAAAAAAATAAGAATGGAATTTAGGTATATTTGCGGTTGCATAATTTGTTGTCTTAGTAGGGGAAAACAACAATTCTAACTCACTGGAACACTGGGTGGGAATAGAACAGTCTGCTACTGAACGCAAGTGAGAAATAAATATTAATTTAGAAAGCAGAGCTGGGCAAGGGGTTGATTTTAAACATGAATTTATCTGTATAATTTAAATTTGATGATGAACACACTTTAATTCCCTATGTCCATTTTCATTTTATTGAATTCAAGTGACATATAGTCAGTGCTCTAAATCCTTAGGCTAGAGTAGGAGTAATAAATATAAGGACCACTTCCTAAAAAATTAAATAGGCTGAAGGAGGGCTTCCCTGATGGCGCAGTGGTTGAGAGTCCGCCTGCCGATGCAGGGGACATGGGTTCGTGCCCCGGTCCGGGAAGATCCCACATGCTGCAGAGCGGCTGGGCCTGTGAGCCATGGCCGCTGAGCCTGCGCGTCCGGAGCCTGTGCTCCGCAACAGGAGAGGCCACAACAGTGAGAGGCCCGCGTACCGCAAAATAAAAACAAAAACAAAAACAATAAATAGGCTGAAGGAAAGCAAGTGAAAGACACCTGAGAAGGTTTCATTGAAATGTTTGGTTTGGTTTGGTTAAAGAGGGATGGTCCATTTCATGAAAAGAGGAAGTGAAGCTAATTTCAAAAAGAAAAGACATGGAAAATTTACTAGACAGCACATTGAAAAACAATTGAATGGGGCATTAGAATAAACCATAACATGTGAAAGCTGTAGAAGCTGGAGAAAAACACTAGGTAATTCACTACAGGGTACATATCCCAAGTCTCAAAAAAATGATAATGAGTTTTTTCATTCTTGAGTTTTGGGGATATAGGCACGTGTTTACCAAAGCTGAAAAGTACTCTAAAATAAATGGCTAAAGAGAAATCAAGGAAACACTCCCATTTACCACTGCAACAAAAAGAATAAAATACCTAGGAATAAAGCTACCTAAGGAGACAAAAGACCTGTATGCAGAAAACTATAAGACATTGATGAAAGAAATTAAAGATGATACAAACAGATGAAGAGATATACCGTGTTCTTGGAATGGAAGAAACAACATTGTGAAAATGACTATACTACCCAAAGCAATCTACAGAGTCAATGCAATCCTTATCAAACTACCAATGGCATTTTTCACAGAACTAGAACAAAAATTTCACAATTTGTATGGAAACACAAAAGCCCCAAACAGCCAAAGCAATCTTGACAAAGAAAAACGGAGCTGGAGGAATCAGGTTCCCAGACTTCAGACTATACTACAAAGCTACAGTAATCAAGACAATATGGTACTGGCACAAAAACAGAAATATAAATCAATGGAACAGGATAGAAAGCCCAGAGATAAACCCACACACATATGGTCACCTTATTTTTGGTAAAGGAGGCAAGAATATACAATGTAGAAAAGACAGCCTTTTCAATAAGTGGTGCTGGGAAAACTGGACAGCTACATGTAAAAGAACGAAATTAGAACACTCCCTAACACCATACACAAAAATCAACTCAAAATGGATTAAAGACCTAAATAAAAGACCAGATACTTTCAAACTCTTAGAGGAAAACAGAGGCAGAATACTCTATGACATAAATCACAGCAAGATCCCTTTTGACCCACCTCTTAGAGTATCGGAAATAAAAACAAAAATAAACAAACGGGACCTAATGAAACTTAAAAGCTTTTCCACAGCAAAGGAAACCATAAACAAGATGAAAAGACACCCTAAGCATGGAAGAAAATATTTGCAAATGAAGCAACTGACAAAGGATTAATCTCCAAAATATACAAGCAGCTCATGCAGCTCAATATCAAAAAAACAAACAACCCAATCCAAAAATGGACCTAAATAGACAGAAGACCTAAATAGACATTTCTCCAAAGAAGATATACAGATTGCCAACAAACACATGAAAGGATGTTCAGCATCAATAATCATTAGAGAAATGCATATCAAAACCACAATGAGGTATCACCTCACACCAGTCAGAATGGCCATCATCAAAAAATCTACAAACAATAAATGCTGGAGAGGCTGTGGAGAAAAGGGAAACTTTTTGCACTGTTGGTGGGAATGTAAATTGATACAGCCACTATGGGGAACAGTATGGAGGTTCCTTAAAAAACTAAAAATAGAACTACCATATGACCCAGCAATCCCAGTACGGGGCATATACCCTGAGAAAACCATAATTCAAAAAGATTCATGTACCACAATGTTCATTGCAGATCTATTTACATCAGCTAGGACATGGAAGCAACCTAAGTGTCCATCGACAGATGAATGCATAAAGAAGATGTGGCACATATATACAATGGAATATTACTAAGCCATAAAAGGAAACGAAATTGAGTCATTTGTAGTGAGGTAGATGGACCTCGAGTCTGTCATGCAGAGTGAAGTAAGTCAGAAAGAGAAAAACAAATACTGTATGCTAATACATATGTATGGAATCTAAAAAAAAAAAAAAGGTTCTGAAAAACCTAGGGGCAGGACAGGAATAAAGACGCAGATGTAGAAAATGGACATGAGGACATGGGGAGGGGGAAGGGTAAGCTGGGACAAAGTGAGAGAGTGGCATGGA